GACTTCATTGGTTGTTCTGTGATTCAATGGGAATCATGGGTGGTGGTAATTTTGATCCGTGAATAAGCTCGACGAATAGACACATTGCTGATTAAATTTAAAAAGGTTAAAATAGCCATATATTGCTCTCCAGCTCATTACTTAAGGTCTTCTTCTTTTTAAATCATACGAAGATGTAAATCGCTTCCCTAATGGTCTATTTTGGACTCCAAGTTTTCCCATTGTCCCTGGGGAAAGATCCTAAGCAGATGCATTTGTGAATCATTTACAGGTTTGACCTTTTTATTTCACTTGTACCTAACTTTCTTCGGCACTTGCCACTTCGCAATCATGTTTTTTGTATCTGAACTACTTAATCCAAACCCTAAAGGCCTTACGTGACAGGTCTCTAGAAGCCCCTACACCGGTACTTTGGTCACGCTCCAGCGTAGGATCTACCCCCCACTGCCGGTTAGGATTCCCAAAAAATTGTCCCTTCGTCGGTATCGACCGCGAAGTATGTCGTGCCCCAGAATCATAGGTACCCATCTGGACCGAACTACTGAACGATAATAATTGCAAACTATAGCAGGAGAATACAACATATCTGTTAAAGATAGACTGTAAGTTATGATACTTATTGAAAGTGTATTCCTTTGACAATTTGTCCCGTTTCTTATGAAGAGTCATGGTTGCTCTGGTCAGCAACTCCCTACCACAGTTGGGTAAAGAAGACCAATCACTTCCATTTTCTGAGATTTAACTTCATCAAGAATGATTAAACATATCGGCTTGCCTTTACTTACTTGTATAGTTGGTTTATTTTATATCTATTTTTAATCACTTTACAGTAGCGTGATGCAAACATGAAAATGAAATGATCAAAACGGACGAATATTTTGATCACCTATGCGAGAGTTCACATATTCATACTCACGTGTGGTTGATTCCGTAGATTTGCCCGCCACATTGTCCACCAAGAACAGACGCCGAGTGAGCTCCCACTTGTCCAAAATACTGGTTTCAATCGAGACGGCCGAAGCGGAATTGCCAAACCCTAACGCCTCGTACAGACTGTTCAAATCAGTTTGGCTAACCACATTGGTGAACGTGTTTTGGTCACCCACTAAGGCCTGATTCAGTATGGGTATGGGCATCAGACGATTCAGGCTTGTATCCGGGTCATAAAACATCAAATCTATTTATTGACAGTACAATGTAAGGAAAATTGCTCAGCAGTGATTTTAAACGGTAAAATATGAACCGGAAGTGATCATCACAATTTTAACATATTATAACCAGCTACTGCAAACTTCTAAGTAGTACAAATATAAATAGTTATCGGTCTGGAGTTCAAAGTCCGGATAGTGGAAATGCGCTAGTACTGGAGAGCAAAATTCTGGTCTAGTGCTTCCTGAGTGTATGGTTGACTGAATGAACTGAGGATTGTGTGTGAAGATGAAGTCCACATCAATATAACTTGTCCCACCGCACGAAACACAGGTAACCATGAGCTGAATGCGAATTTCACTCATATGTGTTTCGAACGTACATGTAGAAAACTAGGTTGGACGATTGAGTAGATGGAAAGTTTATCTACTTGTATTATCCGAGTGCATTCGATGCAACCCTAAAGTATACTCAGATTAAATTGTTGTTTAAAAATAATACTACTCTACAACTCGGAATGCGATTGGTGTGTTGTTCGCATCCCTCAGGCACCAGTACAATCTGACCAAAAGGATACATGGATCGTAGAACAACAGTGGATATTTTGTAGTATTGAACAAATCATCGGCCAGAATTTGACACTGAAAAAGAAGAAGAATGTGGATGAGTTGTCAGAATAAACATAACACAATAAATCCCGCTTGTTTGAACACTTCTACTCGTGCACTATGCGCATATGACGTAACACAAAGTATCCAATTTATGTGTACACTATATGACAGAAAAACGTTTATCACACAACTTTAAAAGTACCCCATAAACGTCTCACTGAGTTGTCAACGTTTAGACAAGTTTCAAAATTTTGACAGTACCGTTGTAAAAACAGCACCAATGTGAATAAATTTGAGAAAAATTTCTACTGATGTTTAAAGAATAAATGCAAGGTAGAAAAGCAGCTCCAATGGGGAGGTGCACAAGACAGAAATAAAAGGACATGAATGATGGTAAAACACGTGCAGACAAACTGAACTAATATCCGGTTAACGGTCGCTTAAGTGGGTGAAATGTCCACTTTTAAATATAAACGTATTCAATACATTTAGCCTTGTGGTCCATCACTATTTCGTGATTTATTTATTTTTATTTCAGTTTGAACTGTCCTTACTTCGGCCTTCACTTTCACCCACTATTGTCAGTTTATCTAGTCAGTCATATACTCGGGAAGCACTAGACTCTTTAGAGCTCATCAGTAGTATATATTCACCGTCTCGTTCAGGCTTTGAACTCCGAACCTATCGCACGAAATGTGTATGTGCGTTTTACCATCGATTTTCTCCTAATCGAAACGAAAATACCAGACCAAGATCAAACAGGAAAGAACACATGAAGTAAATTACATGCGCTTCTATTTGGGATCGAAGAATTGCGTTGAAATACCTAGGTGATAGAAATAACAGGAAAAAGTGTACTCTGAAAGGGCCGTTGCAAAAATTTGTTCAGTTATGGACTTGTTACAATTAAATGTGGTCGACAGCATTCCCTTCATCATAATTGATTGTTTTTTGTCTCGTATAGCCCGATTTAGGGCCCGCCAGGGATAGCAAATACAAACTCAACTATTTATTTTGCAGTGGCAGTCACAGTTCGCTTGAATGCTGCTGCTGCTAACGGTCTTTTTTACTCCTTTGAGTGCTATGAAACGTCTGTGAAAAGCACAGGTATCGAGTGACAGAGACACTTTCGGTGTGGAAACCTGTCAGTAAAGTACGCTTTAGACAAGGTGCGCTGAATTCTGGTCACCGATAGAGGGACAATGTGGCCGTGAAGAAGGATAACCGTGTCGTAGCGAAAGAAAATTCGCGATTTTTGGACAATGAATGGCCGAAGATCGATCCCACGGA